AAATGGAATGTAGAATTCCTTCCCTTCCCTTTCCCCTTCCCCTTCCCTTCGCTTCCCTTCCCATACATAATGTTATTTATTATGTATTCTATATATTATTAACTATGTATTCTAAGTTATCATGGTACTTACAATGTTAGGATGAGACCTTAGAACCTACAATGCCAACGCTGAAAGGAATGATAGAACATAAGACTATCAGAAGTAGAAGAGAGCTTAGAACATGGAATATCAGAGTTAGGAGGGAATTTACAACGCAGAATGTAAGAGCTAGAAGGGACCTCAGGACATAGAAGGTCAGAACAGGAAGGGACATTAAAATAGAGAATATTGGAGCTACAAGGGACCTTAGAATATGGACTATCAGAACTAAGAGGGAATTTTGAACATAGAATATCAGAGCTACAATGGATTTTGGAATATAAAATGTCAGAGCTGGGAGAGACCTTCGAACATAGAATGTCAGAACTAGAAGGGACCTTAGAACACAGAACATCAGAGCTGGGAGGGGCCTTAGATTGAAGAATGTCAGAACTGGGAAGGCCCTTAGAAATCATCTCCTAAGCAGCTTGTCCAAGGTCACAAAGCTTGTATGTGGCAAAACCGGTCACATGACTGGCAGGATTTCCCCCCCCACCTTTCTACCTCACCCCCACCCCTACCACTCTGCGCCACATTCATTTATTCCACCAGCATTTTTGGAATACATAATTGATTGGTAGCTCTTAAGTGAGGTATTCAAGGAAGAAGCAATGGCTTCTCACTGTGTCCAGGGCCCATCCCTGGGCAGTGCAGTGAGGGAAATCAGACGTGAATAAGAAACAGTCAGTCAATAATCAATCAATTACAACCATTTATTAAGCACCTATTATGTGACACACACTGGGGATGCTTAGAAAGGTATAAAAACACAGGCCCTGATCCTGGGGAGCTCCTATCTGTTAGAAGAGACCACAGGCAAACAACTTTGTATAAACAAGATATGGACAGGGCAAACTGGGAGCAGTCTCAGAAGGAAGTCACAGAGATTAAGGAGGATGGGAAAGACTTCTTGCAGAAAGTGGGACGTTAGCTGGAATTGGAAGGAAGCTGGGGAAGCCAGGAGGCAGAGATAAGGGGGTGAGGGTGGGGGTAGGGTGAGAGAGGTATGGAAGACAACTTTCTATCTTAAATAGAGTAGTCTTGTATGGGGAGAGGACGTATGAGAGTGAATAAGATGATAAAAACATGGACGTGCAGTAATAATGCAAGACAGTGTATAATCAAGGACAGGGCACCTTACTGAAGACACGAAATGGATATGGTCATGGCTGGGAGGGATCCCTCTGAGAATGCTGCCAGTGCGGGATCTGTGCTTACAGAAGTAGCCAGGTGGGGGAAAGGTTAGACACTGTACCTGGAGTTGGGAAAAAGACTCTTCTCCACAGTGTCGTTCCCTAGGATCGCAAAAAACTGGAAATCAAGCAGAGAACCATAGACTGGGAAATGGCCAAATAAGTGGTATCCTGTGAATGTAATGGAGCCCTGTTTGAATGTTCAGTCGTGTTCGATTCTTCGTGACCCATTAGGGGTTTTCTTGGCCAAGATACTGGAGTGGATTGCCATTTCCTTCTCTGGCTCATTTCACAGATGAAGAAACTGAGGCAAGCAGGTTTAAGTGACTTGCCCAGGGTCCCACAGCTAGTAAGTGTCTGAGGCTGAATTTGAACTCAGGAAGATGAGTCTTCCTGATTCCAGGCCTGGCATCCCATCCACTGCATCACCTGGGCATCTACCCATGGAATTCTATTGTGCCGTAAAGGTAGATGAATATGCAGAATTGAGAGAAACCTGGGAAGATTTGTATGAACTGATGCAGAGTGAAAAAAACAGAGTGCGCAATATCGACACTGATCACAAAACTGTAAATGGAAGCAATACCAAAAGAAAGTACACCTAATCAGTTCTACAGAATCCTTTTAGGAGACGCTAGGCAACTAAGAGTGCTGAATCTTCTATGTGTCCTCAGGCATAGTTGCTTTGTGGGTCATTTTTGCGTGAAGGTTTTTCTTGGTTTCAGGAAAGGTTCAAGGGTTGTGTTTGTGTATCAGGAAATATCAGTGATGTCAAAAACAATAAAAGACATCATCAGTAAAAATAAAAAAAGAAGTTTGGAATCAGGAAGGTCCGGGTTCGAGTACTGCTGCTGAAGCACAGAAGTTATGTGCCCATGAGCAAATACCCTTCCCTATCAGCACCCTTGGGAATTTTCTAAGAGGTTGTATAGTTTAGTGGAAACTTATGAATTTGGAGGCAGAGGTACTGGCTTCAAATCCTAGTTATGTCTCTGAGCCTCAGATTTTTCATCTTCAAAATGAGGGCCGTTGGACCAGATGGCTTCTGTGGGCCGTTCCAGGTCTACATCTGTAATTCTGTTAGCCTAAGTTGTCCATCTATTTAGGAGACTTGCATCCTTTCTACCTGACTTCTTTACTCTCAGGGTCTGTGAATAAAATTGCCT